ACGGAGCGCAGTAAAGGGTAATAATTGGTCGAAAATAAGTCAGAGTAGGAGGTCGTAAGTGTAACGCCAAGATAAGCCAGAGAATGGGATGCCCAACGGTAGGAAAATTGAGTCTGCAACCGTTCAACCAGGTCAGCAGGGAGCGTAATATTCAATGCCGTGGTTTTAGACAAATTGATGCGAAGGCCAGATATAGTCGAGAAATGGTCCAATATGACCTGGAGATTGGGGAGAGTGATGAGAGGATTGGTTAAAACCAAAAGGGCATCATCCGCATAGAAGTTGGTCTTGTATTGAATGCCGGCATAGGGGACACTAGAAATATCCGGGTGATTTTGAATGGCTGCAGCTAAAGGTTCAAGAGCGAGAACAAAAAGAGCAGGTGATAATAGGCATCCCTGTCTTGTGCCCCTGAAAATAGGGAAGGATGGGGAAAAAAACCCTGCATATTTAACAGAGGCCGAGGGAGACGAATATAAAGCTGAGATCCAAGCCAGGAATGGGTCACCAAACCCCCATCTAGACAGCATATATGTCAAGTATTCCCAAGAAAGTGAATCGAACGCTGTATAAATGTCTAGGGATAAAAGAAACCCTGGTATCTTGCGGTGATGTAAAACATGAATGAGATGGATGACTTTACGGATGTTATCAGCAGTTTGTCGCCCGGAATGAAGCCAACCTGATCTCGATAAATAAGTGGGATTAGATACTTATTAACTCGGGTGCTCAGAATCTTTCCCAGAATCTTCAAGTCCAATCTTCAAGTTTAGCAGCGAGATCGGTCTGAAAGCTTGCGGGTCAAAGGTATCTTCAGCTTTCTTAGGGATCATAGTAATATGCGCCTGAAGAGACTCCAAGGAAAGCCGGGAACCCTGCTTCAAAGAATTAAAAAAGGCCACCAAATGAGGAACCAGAACGGTGGCAATTTTTTTATAATAGAGCCCAGAAAAACCCATCTGGTCCTGAAGCCTTGGAGGCCTTCAAAGATTTGATGGCTTGGTAGAGTTCAGATTCAGAGATATCCGCATTCAGGGCATCTCGGGCTGCATCTGATAAAGAGGGTTGGCGTAACTCTGCAAAAAAGCTATCAGCATGTTTGGCGACAAAGGTGTTCGGTTTTTGGTAGAGAGAGGACAAAAAATCCGCAAATCTATGAATAATCTTCACAGGGTCCGAGGTAAGGCCACTGCCCCTCATGCGAAGTTAAACAGATTTATGCGTGCGACCAAGCGAATTAAGTTTCTTGGCCAATATTGGCCCCGGTTTATTGGCGCATGTATAAAACCTATGTCCGGCCCAACGTAAGGCCTTCTCAGCTCGTGTAGTGGAAAGAAGATCAAGTTCAGCAGCCACCACATCTCGAGCCTTCCTATTGGCCGTAGTCGGGCAGGCTTTCCAAATAGCATTCACCACGGCCAATCTCAAGGTCAATTCCAACATCTTCTTCTCTCTAGCCCGTTTCCTGGACGAGGCAATTTGAATTAGATGACCCCTAATGGTAGCCTTGTGAGCTTCCCACAGAGTGACGGCCAAGGATACAGTACCCACGTTATCTGTAAAATAGGATTGAATGTGCGAAAGAACCTGGGAGCAAGAAGCCTGAGTGTTGAGCAGGGATTCATTGAGTCTCCACTGAAAAGAGGGCCGTGCCATACCAGAAAGACTTAGCGAAAAGACCAATGGATCATGATCAGACCAGTGTGAGGTCGAGATGACAATCTTCTGAATTAAAGATAAATGTAGGAAGGAAATGAAAACGTGAAGTATTCTACAAAAGCTCAAATGTGGGGTCGAATAAAAAGTGTATTCCCACGACGTAGGATGTATTTCCCGCCAGACGTCAACCAAACCATAAGCTTGCCGCATATCACGCAATTTAGATTCCTGAGAAAGATCGTGGCTAGGGGTCCCTCCCGCCGGGTAATGGCGATCGACAGAGGAATTAAGAGCAACATTCGAATCACCCAGCAATAAGAGGATACGTTCGTTGGTGGTGCAAAATCACCTTTAGCAAGTGAGAAAAAAATTTGTGTTGAAATCTATTTGGCGCGTAATAACCCACCAGGGTCACCTCCTGATCCCAAAGGGAGGAGCAAATATCTACCGGTGGGGTCAGCTATTTCCAGGTTGCAGGTAAACAGCAGATTACGTCTAAAAGCGATCACCACGCCCCTATGCTTCTCAAGGGCCAAGACAGAGAAAAAGGTCGGATAATGTGGGAGAGGTAGCGTGGTGCGGAGGATTGAGAAAACCTATTCTCCTGTAGGCAGACTACATCCACATCTTGGGACTTAAGATGATGGAACACCTTAGAACTCTTGGTCAGAGAATTAAAACCATGGATATTTTGAGAAACAATCTTCAAAGGTTTTAGAGCCATACTGAGTTAAGGGAATTTAGCTGCCAAAGAACGCTAAAAACAACGGTCTATGCCTCAAACGCACCCTTACTCAGTGGAAATTGCGACCTAACCATAAGGACGCACATTGGGGGTGGCTCTACCACCGGGCACAGGGGTGCGTCATAACCAACATAATACATAAAACCTTCATGGGGAGGGTAAGGAAGGGGAGAGGGGAAGAGAGGAAAAAAAAAAAAAGGGGGGGGGGGACAAAACAAGCAAAAAAACAACATCAATTACATTACCTTAATAATGCATAATATGACACCATAACACATAAAGAAAATGTAAAGAGGTACACAAACATACCAAAAAAATGGAAAGGAGGCATCCCCGGTCACGGCCCCGTTAGATCGGAAGCCGGCACCAAATATATAAGGCATGTGACCATGAGCCAGGGAGGCCTTCGGTATATATAAAAAGGTACAATAACACCACAAAAAAAAAAAAACCCAAGGAGCCAGCGGGAACTGGAGATCCACATAAAAAGCCGGCGGGAATCGAGGATCACAACCAGTGCAGATCAATATTGCATAGAAAGATATTGCAGACTGTAAAACTAAAAATAAGCAACATCAAAAACATACGAAAGTTCACCCAGCAAGGGCCAGTCAAGCTCTCCGCTCCATATGAAATGCGGAGAGTCACATCAGTGGAAAAGTGAAAAATCTTACTCATCCAACCGTACTCAACCTGTATCAGAGCGGGAGGATCCGACAATGGAGGGGTACTAGGGAGGGAGCGTTTACGGCTGCCAACTTTCTCCTAAATACGCCCCAGCTGAGATGAAGGAGGATGGGAACCGGAGGGCCGCACCAGGCTGTATCCCTTGAGGGCAGAAGATGTAGCGCATCCAGGGTCGACTTGGCCTCTTCCGGATTGTGGACAACATGGCTCCGACCTTGGTACGTGAACATAAGCTTAAATGGAAAGCTCCATTGGTACTTGATGTGACTGTTCAGGAGGACGGACGTGAAGGGTTTCATCTGTCGACGTTTCTGGATGGTGCCAGATCCGCGAACAGCTGGTACGGATGACCTTGAAAGCGAAGATCCTGCTTGTCTCTGACAACACCCCCTTGATATCAGAGAAAAAAAGACTGCTCCAAAAGTTGACAGCTCTTATTTACCACAAAACCACAAAACCAAGGAGCAACTGTCAAGTCGTATGAGAGCCAATGTACCATCTTGCTTGTTCGATTGGACTCTGCAAGTATTTACCTTTTTCACCTATTTGTCTTGGTTTTGGCTTTTTTTTTCTGTCTCTGTCTAACACCCTTTTTCTGTTAATATTTTATTTGCACCATTTTGACCTTTTTGATTATTAAACCCTGTTCTGAAAAGTGTTGAAAATGTCCCTAAGGCTTTTAATGCAAACTAAAAGAATCCCTGTCTCTTGAAGAGTGCTACTGTAGTATAAATCTCCAAACATACCTGTCTGTGGTGACAGTGCGTGTTACAGACGCTTATTCTTAAATCATAGTTGTTATTGCTAAGATTGTGGTGGTAAAAAGGTGGTGGCGGGAGTTTAAAGGGTTAATTGTTTCATTAACTTAGCTCAGTGTCAATTGCTCTGTAAAGCTGTTGGCACTTAGACTGTGGTACCGCAAGCTGGAAAATCTTTATGCAGGGTGCAGCTGAGTGTGGCATTCCTTTGTTATGAGTTGATGAGAAGGGCAGGGGTCGGGCACCACGTTTGTCACACACAGGACTTTTATTCAGAAGAGAAACGTTTTTCCTTCTATTGATAAAATGCCTCAGTGTTACATTTTTTATTTAAAAGTAAAGTATAGTGTAATTTCAGTGAATACATATTTTTTTCAATTATTGCAGTGTTTATCTAAAAGTAATTTTGGTAAGTCTATCATATTTTTGCAAGCTTGGTCTTTGCTGTGTAGCCACCAAAAGGAGCTTCCAGTGGTTCAGTGCAATAACTCTCTCTCACTCAGCAACTGTTGATACATAGTAAAATGGATTAGGAAGCCAGAACTAAATAGGAAAACTAATAAACATGAATCAGAGCCTACATATGCACTTAGCCCTGGTTCACATATGTGTGTTCCTGGGGGCTGCATTTTGCACGGGCATGAAAGCCCATTCATTTTAATGGACTCCCGTGCCCCTTGACACGCAGGAATAAGTACCTGCACTTCTTTGGAAACCGCAGCTCGCACAGGAACCTCGGTTGCCATTTCCAGTGTGGGCGGCGTTCCATTAGAATAAATGGCACCCGCCCGCGGGTCTGCATTCTTCTGTGTGAGTGGTGCGGCTGCATGGATTTTTGTGCGGATCCGCAGCGGCACCACCCGCACACATGTGAACCTAGCCTAAAAAATATAGCTGACCCTATGTACACATTTATGAACAATTTACAGTATGCTGATCTACATGTTTATCTTTATGTAAACCATGAAATGAGTACACATTCCCTTTTATCAAAATGTCATCCATTATGGTGGGCATTTAAGACTTATTCTTGTTGCTTCACAGCTGTCGATCTTGACTAGCTTTGCACATAATAAGTGTGGCAAAGGGAATAAAACGAATCCAATGTCAGGCGTGAGACTTATCTAATCTCTGGAGACTCCAGGAGATGGCTAGAAAGTGAAGGTTTGCAGAAGGCCAGTAAAAAAAAACAGAAAAAGCTCCACTCTGGCTAAACTTTCTCCAACACAAACTCTTCTTCCTGAGGGAACAAAGTGGAATCAGGATTACATAATGTATGCTTGATCAATGTTTTACAGTCTGGAAATCAAAGATTTAGCACTAAATCTACTGTATGGATAGAGTGGTGTGGTAGAGGTATTCCTGACCCTAAGGTACTTTAGTAACTGAACTGTGTTGTTGACTGCTGTGACTAGAAAACTACCAGATGCTCAAAATATTTTGCAGTTACCCAATGGGATGGGAATTATTTCAACCTTAGGAAAAATCAGTGTGTAAAGTGATGAAAACCCCATGGACACTTGGGTAAAGCTGTTTCTTGCTTTTGAAGATACTGTGACTTGAGCTGCACCTCCCAGTCTGTAGCCAAGGGAAATCTACTCATACTGGGATGAAAGATTTGAGTGATGAGAGATTTAATTTTTGCCCAGAGATGGGCTTTAGGTATATATCCACTTCATATCTACTGTGACTATTTAAACAAAGAGCCTTAACCTCCCTGGCGGTATGATTATTTCAGATTTTTGGTGCTGAAAGCGGTACCATTATTTTGCATGGAAATATGTAGTTTTTTATTGTAGGCCTGTAATTTTTAGGAATAACTCACTGAAATCTGTCCGAACAAGAGTCTAGTACACATCCCGGGTATGATAAAATTTGAAACACGAAATCATAAATTAGAATTTAATAAATAATCATAAAAAATAATAATATAATAATAATACATTTAATTCAATAATATAATCAAACCGAAAACACTGAAATTTGAAATAGAGCGCCAAGTTCGTACATTGCTGAGCAAAGTCGCAAAATCGTTTTCAGTGTCTGATGACGAATTTCCCCCACGAATCATTATCACTCAATTCTGCAAGTGGTTCTGATTTACTATCGCTGTTCTCTAGCTGGTCTAAAACCGCTTTTGACCTAAAAGGACACTTTTTGGACGCCATGGACGTTTCTCAGTTTCCAGGCAGAAAGAACAGACAAAATGCAGGCAGGGCACAGGACAAAGCACTAGGGACAATATGTATGTGAAATGGGTTGAAACAGCAATGTTTTACTATGAAAAATTTGTTTTGAAAAAAATTAAAATTTTTAAAATTTTCAAATTTCCCACCGCCGGCGGTGCCCGTACGTCCCGACGTCACAGGGACCATAACACAGAAGCCGGATGCTGGCATCGGCCGGAGGAGATGGCCGGGGACGCTGCAGGGGACACATCGTGGGAGCGAAGGACAAGGTAAGTGCTGCAGGGACTCCCTATGCAGCGCCGCATGGTAAGCCCGAGTGTAGCTCGGGGTTACCGCTTTTGGCACTAAAACTCTACCCCGAGCTACACTCGGGAATACCACCAGGGAGGTTAAGTGTTACTAAACCCACAACAGGAAAATCAGTCTCTATATGGAGTAAAGCATGCTTGTTATACTCACTGTAGAACATAAGGGGTTAATCATTCGCATTGTATAAAAAGGATGTCTGATCCTGTCTTCTCTGATCCTCCCCATTCTTCTACTGTCCCCGATTTATCTGCTGATAGAACATAGCCTTGGGGGCAAGCTGTACATGCTCAGTTTGGTGTGTATTGCTAGTGTGATCAGCACAGGGCCAATCAGCACTGTCCAGACAGAAGTTCAGGGCTTATGCAGCCTCATAGGACAATCAGGGGAGAATGAAAGCTCCTCTTAAAAACTTTAACTAGTGCTCTGCTGGACACTGATGGATGTCACAAGACTGCTATAAAGTGCTGATGAGAAAAGGTATTTAGCAGTTTATATTTACTAAAATAATTGCATTTTCATGTCCTGTGTACTGTGGGAGACCAGATATAGTGAATGCAGGGTCCTGGGTTTAGTAACACTTTAAGGATATAAATGCCGTCGTACAGACTAGGTATAGTTTTAAGTGAATTTTAGCATTTTGTTTTTTAAAGGTCTCTCTGTGAAATGACACAGAAACAAATAATGTATGATAGCCTTCAATATTGTTTAATAAACCTTGGTGACCTACCTGCAGAGAAGGGCATAAACGCATCTCGTTTTACAAATTTTCCAGCTTCACCTAAAAAGTGGTTTGGGCTAAACTCATAAGGTGTTTCCCACTGAGTCTAGTCATACAAAACAGAGGAGAGGAAAGGAATGACCTCTGTATCCTAAAAAGAGAACAACATTGTAGTTTTTAATAAGAAAGTCCATCCCTAGGCAAAACATGCACACCCTCCCTGTCTAACATATTATGGAGGTTTTTTTATTGTGAATCAATAAATCACAGTGGCTAAATGGTTAGCACTTCTGCCTGGCAGTAATAGGGTTGTTGGTTCAAATTCCAACCACGGCACCACCTGCCTGGAGTGCATGTTCTCCCCTGTGCCTGCGTGGGTTTCCTCTGGGTACTCTATTTTCCTCCCACACTCCAAAAGACATGCTGGTAGGTGAATTGGCTCCTGTCTAAATTGGCCCTAGTAAGGGACCTTAGATTGTACACCCCTTGAGGGTTAGGGACTGATGTGAATGTACAATGTTAAAGCGCTGCATGAATTGACAGCGCTATATAAGTACCTGAAATAAATAAATAAGATATACTTACCTACATCCACTATCTGGGTCCTTAAAGTTGCCATTTCCAGGTGGGGATGGGGGGGGGCACTAATCCAGTGTTGCAGATGTGTCTACATAGGTCAATACCAGAACTATTTTGTTGCCCTGTTTCTGCGCTCTTTCTAGTTTTGAGTGTTGTATTTTGAGTAAATCAATGGACATGCACACTAGTATTGATTGGTGTTTCCATGGCCCTTGTAGAACCTCTGGCAAGTTTTGACAGTTGACTGTCTCGAATAAGGACACAATGTAGCAACAAAAAATTTACTTCATAAACCCTCCCCGCTTTACCAGCTGAAATCATTTGTTGCGGAGACCAAGTCGAGATATTCTCCCCAATTTCTGTCCCAGTTACACAGAAGGAAGTGAGGAGAAGACTCCCAATTAGGAACATACACAACTGTAACCTGAAAGGGGTTCAAAACAGAAAATGTTTGTTCTGGAGTTCCACATTAATGCATATAAAGTAGTAACAGTTAAAAAGTGTGTGTTCAGATTATTAGACATATTAGGTATACAGTGATCTATGTTTCTCTAGTGTTGCAGGCATAGGTAAAACAGTTTAGTTGCAAAGGTGCTGGAAGTTAATTTAAAATGTTGGGTCTCAGACCTTCTCTCAAAGTTGTGTGATGTTTAATCTGGTTGCCCACTCCTGGATATGCTCTCTCACTTTCTCCTCTTTTTCCTTTTCCTTACCTCCCCCTCCCCCTTTTTTTCCCCACATCCAATTTGTATGAGGTTTGGGAAACCAAACAACTATAGATCCTAATCTATTAATGTCTTCATTACCTTTACAACATCATTGTCTCTGAAGAGCTATTGGTTGGTGCTGTATTGTGCTCTTCTATCCTTTGCTGACATTCTGATTATGCTCATTGATGTGTATTGAGTTTGTTTCCTATCTTCTGTAGCACCCTCTAGTGTGCAACTAGAATAGTGTAGTGTATGATAGGTAAACTCATTGTATATGACTCATGGTAGTTGTGTGAGTCTGTGATTGAGATCAGGTTATTGCAGGTCAGCTGGATGACAGGTTGTGGCTCTATTGCCTCCTCTTGACTCTGGAGGACCATAGAACCTTCCAGAGGTCAGTAAGCAGAAAGGGGTGGAGACCTGGTCTACATGTTCATGGGAGTCTGGCCAATCCCAGGTATGGAGGCCCTGGTAGAATGGTGGACCAGTCCATAAATGTGGGCGAGTCAGGCTGACAGAGGAGTCGGGGGGAAGATGGAGTACTGAGGAGACTGTCAGTACCTGGGAGGGGTCCTCTAGGTGTGTGTGTGGGGGGGGGGGCCTTCAGGCTGGCTTCAGGAGGATACATTTAGCAATAAGGCATGAATGGGATCGAGACCTGGGCAGCAGGGAGCAAAGAGGACAGTGTGAGTACAGCAGTACTCTCTAGGATCTACAAGGGGAAAGCCTGCCACACACATAGCAAGCTTTCTAAGGACAGCTCTGGGCTCAATCCAGCGCTGAGCAAACCCTATATAAACTCGATATAATAATAATAATAATCCTTTATCCTTGTCCAGGGAGATCGTCCGAGAAGCTAGGAGGGCTGGTAGTGCTTGGAGGCTGTGGAGCTGGGAGAAGACAACAGAAGACATCTCTGCATGTAGCTATGAGAAATAAGCTGATTTTTGAGGGACTGCTAGTTCCTTGCCTGGGCAGCTGCTACTGTTCTGCAAAGACTGCAAAAGGTTTTCAGGGAAAGAACAGTCCAGGATCTGCCTTTGTACATAAGAAGGAAGTGTCCCCTTTCTATTGTTTCAAGTCAAACTGGGCAATCCATAAACCCTATTTACGTATCCAGGTTGCTTTCCCCTAATAAAACAACAAAACCAAGCCCGTGGACTGGTCATTATCTTTGGATGCAAGTTTGTGCAAGAAATAACTGTTGCCTGGCTGTGCAGAGGGAGTTTTAGGAATACCCATTACTCAGTGGCCCTCACGAGGGTAGCCCTACACTTTCTTTGCCCATTCTGCCACATGTGGGTTGTTATTATGTCACGCACACCTGTGATGGTGCATGTGTGTGTTTGGGTGTTTTATTTTATGTTTTTACATGTTTTGTATGTCTTTATACCTTTTTTTGGTACTTTTAAATTGCTGTTAAAAGAAAAAAAAAAATTCAATAAACTCATATTGAATATAAAATGTTTGGTCCCTGAAGTCATATCCTACACAGGGCCATGTACTTTCAATGTGGCATCCCACTTGGCCCAGTGCTGCCACTTGGGGTGGGTCACATGCTCCTTCATACTCAGAGGCACTTATTATATCCTTTATCTTTCCACACTGAACAGAGTGATGGAGGAGTGAAGGAAAGGAAAGTATTGAGGATGAGCTCAGTTACAGTACATTCAGATTGAACACTGGCTTATGAGACATTCGTCCAAATGTGGAATGTTCGGGGAGTACAGCATGGACAAATGTGACAGCTTCTAGTTGCCAATAGTTGCTAAGGAAGCAGCGAGTACTTGCAGCAGCTGCATCCTTACCAACCACTGACATCACCCGGGCCATTCACTTACAGGATCAGGAATCCCCAGCTATGTAAGCAAATGGGCAGGGAATAGAGCAGGTTACTAGCTAAATATGACCATAGCCATATTTGGGCAATGATGTCACCACTATCCCTGCCTTATCCTTTTTATAGCTGATGACAGCTCAGGTAGATTTCATTCAGCTTTGTGTAGTGGGTCATTCATTTTTCTTCAGAGAGTCTGGCGTCATGACTTTACAACAAGGGATATTTTTGGGGTATTTAAATTTTTTTAATAAAGGGCTTGCACAGCCATCCAAAGCAGTGTGCACGAGCTGACAGGGAGGAGAACTGTTTTTGTTTACAAACAGTTCTCCTTCCCGTCGGAGATGCTTGGCAATCACTGGGCGCCAGCAAGTAAACACCGGCCGGGACCCAGTGATTGACAACCGCGACCGTGAATATATATATATGTGCGATTTTGTGCACCCGTGCCACCCTGTAGTAGTATTTCTGCTATAGGGCGGACAGGAAGCAGTTATTTAACAGCAACAGAAGCCGATGGCTCCGGCTGCCTCAGCAAAGCCAGAGAAACCAGGAAGTGAGGGGAGAGAAGAGTTGCAGACGTGCACAGCACTGAATCGAATGAGGTAAGCAAAAGGGTGGAGGTGAGGGGCTGCTATTGATGCCTAAACATTTTTTACCTTAATACAAGAAATGCATTAAGGTAAAAAAAAAATGTTTAGGCTTTATAACCACTTTAAATAAAATTTGTGTAGCCATAGTATATGCTAATTTGTTTTATTTGCTATATTTTTCCCACATAGGTGGAGTTACTCTTGGGGAAGTGTTACATTCCACATTTCCATTGGTACTTTCTCCCTTCTCAACAGAACTCAAATAAACAGGGCTTTTTTTCTCAGAGAATAGGTGCAGGAGTTCAACCACACTCCCCCGTCACACAAAGTAAGCAAGGAGAGAGCACGTTGCATTAAATGGTGGGTGTGACCAAAATGCACTATGCAATAGTGCACTATGTACAGAGGGCAGAGTCCAGGAGTGCACTACATACAGAGGGCAGAGTCCAGGAGTGCACTACGTACAGAGGGCAGAGTCCAGGAGTGCACTACGTACAGAAAGCAGAGTCCAGGAGTGCACTACGTACAGAAAGCAGAGTCCAGGAGTGCACTACGTACAGAGGGCAGAGTCCAGGAGTGCACTACATACAGAGGGCAGAGTCCAGGAGTGCACTACGTACAGAGGGCAGAGTCCAGGAGTGCACTACGTACAGAAAGCAGAGTCCAGGAGTGCACTACGTACAGAGGGCAGAGTCCAGCAGTGCACTACGTACAGAGGGAAGAGTCCAGGAGTGCACTACGTACTGAGTGCAGAATTCAGGAATGCATTACGTACAGAGTGCAGAATTCAGGAATACATTGCGTACAGTGTGAAGAATTCAGGAATGCATTACGTATAGAGAGCAGAGTCCAGGAGTGCACTAAGTAGAGAAGGCAGAGTCCAGGAGTGCACTACATACAGAGTGCAGGTTTCAGGGTGCATTACGTACAGAGTTCAGAATTCAGGGTGCACTACAAAAAGAGTGCAGAGTTCAGAAGTGCATTATGAACAGAGTGCAGAATTCAGGAGTGCACTATGTACAAAGTACATAATTCAGGAGTCCACTGTATACAGAGTGCAGAACTCAGGAGTGCATTGCATAAAGAGTGCAGAATTAAGAAGTGCATTACGCACAGAGTGCAGAATTTAGGAGTGCATTACGTAGAGTGCAGAATTCAGGAGTCCACTGCGTACAGAGTGCAGAATTCAGGAGTCCACTGCGTACAGAGTGCAGAATTCAGGAGTGCATTATGTACAGAGTGCAGAATTCAGGAATGCATTACGTACAGAGTGCAGAATTCAGGAATGCATTACGTACAGTGTGCA